CCTGCATCGGCAGGCGGACTCTCAACCACTGCGCCACCAGGGAAGCCCAGCCAATCAGTTTTAATTCCACCAAAATCGCTCTACAAAACTAGAGTATGGTGGAGAATTGTTTACTGTCATATTGTCAGTGCTCCGCCCATGTGCTGGACTATGCCCCCAGGAGCATCCTTGACCAATGACTGATAAAAACTGGACAAATATCCCATCTCCTTTACCTCAGATATAATTCTGAGACACATGGTTTAAACTGTCCCCCTGTGGAGTTAAAGCTTCATTTGCTTTGAAACACCCCCTTTATTCATTTCTTTCCTTTCCCTGTCTCACTTTCCCACTCTCCTCTTCCCATCCCACACCCCTGGTGTTTTCTGGGTTAACCTCCCAAATAAACTTACACTCAAACCCCTGCCTCAGAATCAGCTTCTAGGAGAACCCAAGCCAAGATACTGACGAAGGCTAATGAGTTATGAATAAAGCCTCCACATATTTTTGACTCATAAGTAAGTCCTTTCTAATACTTGTGCCTTAAGCATGGGTCTTCCCAAACTTGCCATTTTTATGTAGATTTTTAAAATCTATGAGCCCTGATACGCACAATTTTAAACCACCATCATTGTATCATAGTAGCTACCACTTATTGAATATTTACTGTATGCCAGGCACACGACTAAGCACTTTATGGTGACTTACCATTGAAAACTCTTGGATATCTTTGGTCTAATTACAGGTCTAGGTGAGAGGGAGAATCAGGAAGGGGCCTAAGGAAGCTCGTCTTTCCTCTTGCACAGAAGCAGCTCAGTCTCCTGGTGTGAAGTAGAATTACCTCCTTTTCAAGGGGACGCTTGCTCATTTCTTTATTTTTTATCTTCTCTCCTTTTCCAGAGATTGATACTCTCAGAGAAAACTACAGTCGGCAAATTTCCATTAATCACAATGACTTCAAAATTTTAAAAAATAATGAGAGTCGGCTGTGGGAAGTCCTCCAGAATAAATTTAGCTGTATCTTTACCCTAGTTTCTCCAGCCCAGGAAGGTAACAGTGAGTCTCTACAAGTCTTCAGAAAAATGCTGGTGCCCAGGCTAGAGTTATCTGTCTGGAAGGATGACCTCACCAGACATGTTGTTGACGTTGTGGTGAATGCAGCCAATGAAGACCTCATTCATGGGGGAGGCCTGGCGCAGGCCCTTGTGAAAGTTGGCGGCCTTGAAATCCAAGAGGAGAGCAGAAGATATGTTTCCTTATATGGCAAAATTCCAACTGGTGACATAGCTATCACAGGAGCAGGGAAGCTTCCCTGCAAACTCATTATCCATGCTGTTGGGCCTCGATGGGGGTTAATGGATAGACAGGAATGTATCGATAAACTGCAAAGAGCCATTATAAATATTTTGAATTTTGTCAATAGTAATGGGTACACTGAGACAGTAGCGATTCCAGCCCTGAGCTCTGGGATTTTCCAGTTCCCTCTGGATTTGTGTACACAGGTCATTGTGGAAACTATCAAGTATTATTTCCAAAACATGCAGCTAGCCAATAATTTGAAAGAAATTCACCTGGTAAGCAATGAGGACCCTACTGTTGCTGCCTTTAAAACTGTTTCAGAAGTCATCCTAGGGAGGAACGAGCTGGGGTCCCGGGTGAGTCAAGAAGCCACCCACCTTTTCAATACTATGGTTGTGAACAACCTGACTCTCCAGATTGTCCAGGGCCACATTGAAATGCAGGAAGTAAGTCTTTGTTTTATTCTCTTGCACTGCCAAAGGGGATCCCTGAACTGTTTATTACCTGTCAAGTATGTTTTGAGCATATACTATTTCAAACATGGTTTAGAAGGCATCTTGTTAAGTAAGGTTAAGAGTATGGATTTCAGAGCCAGACCATTTGGATTTCAATACTAGCTTTGCCACTTACTAACTGGGTGACCTGAACCAAATTACTTTACCATTTGATCCTCAGTTTCCTCATCCGTAAAATAAGGATAATAATAGCACTTATATCTTAGAGTTGGAATCAATACACATAAACTGCTTAGAATAAAACTTGGCATGTGGTATTTATAATTATTATTGCCATTATTCTTAGGCACCATGAGGAAATAGAACAATCTTTGATTCTGAGGAACTTAAGATCTATTTTATTCTTTTTATGTAAAAAGATTCTCTATCTGGAAAATCTCGTTAGAGAGACAAACCATCTGAACATTTCTAAAGCAACCTAGCAATAATAAACAAAAAAGTCTTAATACAAAGTGAATTCGTATTTAAGAGTATATACATTTGTGACAAGAGTGGAGTGTAGTAGATCAGGAAGGATTACTTCAGAAGATGTGAGTTTTAAATCTGATCTCAAGTTATGATAGTTATGAATTGGCAGGAGAAGAGGCCTGGGTGGTTAGAATGACGGATCAGAGAGATACAGAGGAATTGACAGATCAAAAGTAGTAGGCTGGACCAGTCAGGAGACCTAAGCTGAGCTGGAAATCGTATTCTGAGTATATGGCTCTGTGCCAGGAGCTGTGGAGGATACAAAGTGTAACTTAGCATTTAGCCAGGGATCATAGGGCACAAAGGTGAGGACCCTGACAGGGAGGGGAGAGAGTCAGAGTAACAGTGAACCTAGGTATTTCTGGATTAGTGCAGCTTCTCTGCCAGGCAGAGAGTACCTCGAAGGTGTAAATCGTGGCTTGTTCATCTCTGTAGCCCTGGGGCTGGTCTCTGGTCTCGTGCAACTGGGTGTTCAACAAATTACTGATGAATAACTGAAGGGGGCAGCAGGGAGCAAGGGTTGCAGCAGAGGAAGAGAGAGAAAGAATGTAAGGCTATATTCTCTATTTTTCCTCTGGATCTGACTTTCCTATGGCCACAATCAAATAGACTTAATCACAAGTGAAAAAATGCCATTTATTGCCTGCAAGACAATTAGAAAGAAGACTGAGGGGACCCCATGAGATGAAATACTTACTTGATAAGTCATTAATATGCCAATTTAAAATTAAAGTGGAAACATCCTGGTTGAATAATGTATCCTTTTAACTAAAATTTTATTGTATTTAATTATTGCCGACACAAGGAACTTTAAAATTTGTAAAGGGTGCCAGTGCCCCCGACTTGCAAATTCTGATTTCACTTTCAAAGTGACACATTCATTAACATCCATGAGAAGTACCGAAGTTACCCCAAAAGGGAGCCAAAGCCATCAGGATGAATTAGGGGGATCTGGCGACCCCACCAAGAAGGAGGCCTATTTCCCTCCAAAGACTTTTTTGTCTCATTTGTGCTTTCTTTCACCATGTACTACTTACCTTAAAAAACACAAACTTTAGGGGATAGAAATTGCCTGAGAAATATTATTTCCACTCTGTAAGACAAAATGAAAATTCACAGAGAAACAGCAAAAAGTGATGACAGTGGGGCAGAGAGTGAAACCACTTATTGATAAAGCTTAAAACAAATCATAGAGAATGCTGTGAATCTGGGATATTGGGAGTATAAGCCAGCAAGGGGCTGACAGATGTTTGCAATAAAAATTGTATCATCTACGTACTTTACCTAATTTCTGACTAGGACAGACAGATTCATGGCAGTCAAATGATCCCGCTTTGGAAATTTTATATCCATTATTAAGTGATATTTCTGTGGATTTAGGATCTCCAAATGTATTTTTCAAAGCTCTTCAGGGAAATAAAGATTTAAATTGGTCATTTAAGAAAAAGTAATTTAACACTGAATCTTGTTCAATTTTTTCCCTTTTCAGACGAATGTAATTGTTAATTCTGCATATACATATGGTGGTCTTAGAGCTACATCTGTGTCAAAATCAATTCTACAAGCAGCAGGAGATGAAATAGAAAGGGAATTTAGCCAAAATATGACTAAAACACCACTAGATTCCCAGTTGGTCCTGGTCACAAAAGGATTTAAATTGCCCTGCAAATACGTATACCATGTGTTGTGGCCTTCAGAATGTTATAAACAAAAACTGGTAAGGTCAAAATAAATTTATCTTTCTGTATCTCCAGAGTCTATGTAGTCTGTTGAATTTCCATCCTGTCATTACATTCATGAAATGTTATTGTCAAGTGGAATAATCCCCATTCTCTAGTACTCCTGTGAATACCTGAAATACTAAACAGGTATTGTTGTCACAAGTTGTCTTAAGAAGTTTAATTTAAAATATCACCTAACCCATGTCTAAATTTTAAGTGGACATACCGCAAATAGACACAGAATCATCAGGGCTCCCTCAGTCTGCACACTTGTTCACTTCACTGCACCCAGTGACCCTGTAGGCCTTTTCCTACTGAGCCTGGGATTCAGCCTCTCCATATCTCCTGCCATCTGTTAAATTCCAGGAGGACCTGGGATCTCCCTTCCAATACCATTCCAGTCAAATCTATCGCCTGTGGTGTCTGTGCCTGTGGTGGAGCTTAGCTTTCTGCCTGACTCTACAACTGCGGGACGTAAATTACATGCATTGAATAGGGGGAACCTACTGACAAGTGGAGAGAGAGAAACTTAATCCCCTTTTCTACCTTTGTCTATCTGTATTTTGTCTCCATTTCTGGTCTTCTCTTGTTTAGAGAGCCCTCAAATCCCAAATTGGTCCTCCAGTGACTCTCTACCCCTCAGTTTTTACTACATTAGTAAAACCTTCCTACATTAGTATAACTAATATATATTAGTATAATTAGTATATGTAATTAGTATAATATATATTAGTATAATGTAGGAAGGTTATTAGATAACCTTCCCACATTAGTATTCAGTTTGAATGTTGAATGTTGAAACATTGATGGAAGTGTAAATCTGCCAAAAATAAATTATGTAACAGATCTTAATGACATTAAATAAATGTTGCTTTACTTACTTTAACCTTTACCTCCTTTTATTAAAGCTCTTTATGTTGACCCAGAAGTGGCAGGTAAGTGGGGATAAACTGAAGGTTGGCTCTCTAACCTGGGGAGAAGGCTACATAAACTGAGGGAAATCACGATGCTCAGACGTCCTGAATGGCACAAAATGGACCACTCAATTACTTCAGTTTCTCAGCCCTTTCATTTCTCATCATCTAACCTTATAGCTATAATGGGTCCCCTATGGAGTGGTACCTTTCCTGTTCTCTGAGGAGGGATGGACATGGCCCTGAGGAATAGTGGAGGCTGGCATTGTAAAATATGGGCAGGACTAAGGGGTAAGTGAAGTCTTATTTTTGACTCAAGGCTGATGTTGAATTTGTGTTTTTCTTGCAGACATTGGAAACTGCAATGAAGAAATGCTTGGAAAAATGCCTTGAGCTAAATATAACTTCCATTTCCTTTCCTGCCCTTGGGACTGGAATCTCTGAAGCGGCAGAGATTATGTTTAATGAAGTTTTAATATTTGCCAGGCACCATTTGCAACAATTAACTGTAAAGTTTGTGATCTTCCCAAAAGAACAGCAGTTATATAAGGTAAGTTAATGTCTTAGAAATGTACTTCTGTTCGTTTGTTCATTCATTCACTCAACAACATCTGTTTAGTATCTCCAGAGTAAGACATGGTGCCTGTTAAGTGCTGTACAGCATGGTGATGGTCTAACTTGGCAAAATTTAATTTTTATAAATTGCTCACTTCTGACCGAGTAAAGAATGTCATTGTACAGGCCACGTTAACCTCACTACCTAGCTTCTCTCTTGTCCTTTGTTGGCATTTATTCTTCCCTCTGCTCCTTAAAGGTAAGCAACCTCCTAGTTTTATGGGGTCCCCTACTCCTTCCCCTTCTCTTTCCCACCTCCCAGGCTGTCTCCATGTGGGTGGTTGCCATTTTCTCTCTCCCTACAAGGAAACAGACTTGTTCTATCTTGTTCTTTTCTGGAACAAGTGTAAAGGTTCTTATTCCTCTTGCTGCCTCACTAGACACAGGGAGGTTTGTAGTGTTTACTGATTTCCATTGCTGACGTCAAGCTATCCATGTTACATCACTGAAGAAGGAATTGGAAAGAGGTGTTCACGGTGGGGTCTCATGAGCCAGTGTAAGCCAGCTCCAGTACACCACTGTCTCATCCACAGCTGACCTGAAAGATTGGTGAATTACCCAGTGAAGCAGCTTACCTTCTTGACAAAATTAAACATCCTGTCATTCGAATGAAGTTCACCAGTTCCCCCGCCTGCCCCCAGCAGAGGACTGTTACTGGGCCCAGATAGGTGCCCTGAGTACATCTCTGGACTGTCCATAAAGCACCACATCCCTGTAAGAGGAATTAACCACAATTAGAAAAGAAGGCTCTCATTTTCTTCAACATACAAACAAAAATGGAAATGGTGGTTCAACAATACAGAAAAGATCAACCACAGTCTGAGGGCTCCCCCAGGGGCTAATAATAACAGTAGTTGCCGTGAGTTGCATCAGCCAGGTACTGTGCCAAGAAGAAGCTGTCTCTCTTCATTCTCCCCTCAGTCCCATGATGAAGCCACTATTGTCATCTCCATTTTACAAATGGGACCAGAGGTTAATATGTACACACCAATCCAGTGGCTGAGCCAAGATACCAACCTGTGTCTGTTGGTCTGACCCCAAAGCCTGCGTTCTGAACCACTAAGCAAAAACACAGAAAAAATAACTTGAAAGATGATACAGCTTTCAGTTTTGTAACTCAAAGGAGAAGATTATCTTACAAAGTAATTTGTTATACCCTGAACATTGACCATTCCTTCAGGCTTTTTTCAATGTTAACACTATGTTATATCCATGTGGAAGTATGACGTGCGCATACACATATGTATACACCTCTGGTCTTCTGCTAAGCACATCTTTTCTTCCTAAATAAGTCTTTCAATGAGGGGTGTATGTTCAGAAAGATCAGAGGGCAACTTACACAGTTCTTCACAGGGGGCATTACCTTGGCAAGGTCCCTACATTCCAGAAAATGGATTTGTCAGGCATCTGGAGTGGACCTGACTCAGGGAGACCAACCCATACTGAGCTCACAATAAAGTGATATTTATGTTCACACACTCATGAATTTCCAGTTCATGGATGACGATGAGTAAATAACTCCCCAGCTGACTGAAATACCGTTTTCACTAGTATTTCATGATGATAAGGGTCCTGGGTGCCACTGAGTATCTGTAAAAGGCAATGAACAGTCATTCATTTGTTTATTTAACAAATATGTATTGCATATCTACCTTGTGCCAGACATCACGTCTCAGAAAAAGGAACTCCTTACTAGGAACACTCCTCACATTCCTCACACGAGGTGTTAGTCATTCGTGGACAGAGCTGGAAAAACTGCCAAATTCTTGCCATTTGGATCTACTTTTCCAAACTACTTGCAGACTGTCTGCTTGTTATCCACACCCTCTATGTTATTGATACTGATTAAGTTACATTTTTCTTTCACATTCAGTTCAAAAGCCTTGCCTAAATGATTTCTAACCCTGTGACACATACTGACTTTTAAGTGACTTTGTAAGAGAACTGATTTTTATCCATGTTGTGTTTGGCAGCTGTTATTAGTCAGTTTATCAGCAGATAATGTTATGTTATTTGTTTTGGAAGGCAGGGAAGTCCCTCCCTGTTATGACCTCTCCAGGTACTAAATAAGCATGGTAAGATTGAGGGCTTTTTTGCTCTGCAAATAGCAGCTGCAAATATAATTTATGAAGAAAAAGTACTACAGGTTAAGAAACTTCATTATTAAAGTTCAGACGCAATGAAAAATGTAGTCTTTACATCATTATTTACCATCTTTTTCAATGAAGAATTACTGCCAATTGCATCAACTTTAAAGAAGGAAGACCCTGGGCATGGTGGTTCCAAACCCTAGGAGAGATGAGTTTTTTCAAATAGATACTATGTTAAAGGATCTACCTGGCAATATACATAAATCTTTGTGTGTAGACTGTCACATACTAATAATTATAACAATAGCTAACATATTGAATATTTACAATATGCTGGGTACAATTATAAGCACTTTACAGGAATTGATCATTTATTTAATCTACAAACAAAGCATGGTGTGCATATAACTTTTTTATTTTTTTAATTTTTTAAATTTTTTTAATTTTTATTTTTTTTGCTGTACGCGGGCTTCTCACTGTTGTGGCCTCTCCCGTTGCGGAGCACAGGCTCCGGACGCGCAGGCTCAGCGGCCATGGCTCACGGGCCCAGCCGCTCCGCGGCATGTGGGATCTTCCCGGATCGGGGCACGAACACATGTCCCCTGCATCGGCAGACGGACTCTCAACCACTGCGCCACCAGGGAAGCCCCATATAACTTTTTAAAATGAATTTGTTTTATTGATTACAAGAGCATCTTCCTCTGTTTGTCTTCTTCAGTGACATATCCACAGCTTTAGTTCAGTGCCTAATGTGCAATTAGCAGGGCATTAATATCTATGAATGAATGAATGAATGAATGATATTTTGCCTTGGGATGTACATTCTCATTTTTTGTATATGCCAGATTTTAAGGTGGTTTTTTTTTTTTCCCCCATTTTTCCTATACTGGTTTCCCCTACATGTTCTAATAGAGTGCAGTGCTGCACTTGCTGTTCCCGAGGACTTTCTTAAAGGCTGCTTTAGATTTGTGGCAGTGGAAATGGGGGATGAAAGAGTGGATGAGGTCAAGTATGTGAGTGTAGGTAGAGAGAGGGATTTTGATGACAGTGGCTAAAAGCCCCACTTAGGACTCTGCTCTGTTTTGCTTCTCGTAGGTTTTCAGCACTGAAATGGAAAAGAATAAGTTGAAGCTGCAGGGTCTCAACAATTACCCTGGTGGTGAGTAAGAAACTCACGGATCTAGAGTAAGAAACTCACGCATCTAGAGTAAGATCTAGAGTAAGAAAATCACGCATCTAGAGTAAGATCTAGAGTAAGAAACTCACGGATCTAGAGTAAGATCTAGAGTAAGAAACTCACGGATCTAGAAATAGAGTCATAGGCTCATTTTATTCTTGATCATCCGAACTAATGGAGGGGAGAAGATGAATAAATAAGCCAAACATGTTTCATTGTGCTCCTGCCTGGATACCAATGTGCTCTATACCTGACCATGATTCTATTTTTGCTCAGTCTAGTTTCATGATATGAACAGAGAGAAGCTAAGTTGAAGTAGGTAATCCACAGTGTGGGTAGTTCATTCACAAATGGATGTCTATATATTTTTTTTCATAAGCTTACTAAGCCAGTTACGCTTTCTGATTTGAATGGAGTGCCATCTAAATGGGGTTACTTATGAGTAATCATAGAAAATACATCTCAGTAATACCAGATAATAATAAGTGGATTAAACCAATGCTCCCCAAACCTGAGTAATCATTGGGATTGTGATGGAAACTTTAAAACAAACAAACAAACAAAAATATGTATGGCCCAACTCTACAGATTCTGATTCAGGAACTTTGGGTCTGGGCCAAACATGTATATTTTTCAATGCTTCCTCGTCAGTTTTGCTGCAGAACCAGGTCTGGGGATCACTGGACTAAACCAATCCTGGTTGCAGAAGGGTTAACTTTGTCTTATAACTCCATTCCTGTCGAGGAGTTTGAGTGGACTGAGATGGAACTGTGTCATGACAACTAGGGTGTGTACTTCTGAAATAGTCTTTTAATCCACAGTGTTCTATAGATGTTAAGAACACCAGACATTCAACCAGCAATAGAAACTATTAGGATATTTTCTATTAGGGTCGAAATGATTTGCTTATACCCTTTATTAGAAGAGTTCACTTTTGGACAGTCAGTGTCCAGCAGTGTTGGAAATGAAGAAGAGGGAACTTGAAGAGCTCTGGCCTGTGACTGCACCTCTTACGAGCCTATTTATCTATCTGTAAAATGGTGATAATGACAGATTGTTGTGAGGATAACTGGAGATTATGTATGTAAAAATGTTCTGTAAATTACAAAGCATTAAACAAATGCCAGGGGATAAATAACGAATGAGAGGATGGACAGACTCCCCAGGTGGCCTAGAAGAGGGAGAGATGCCCTTTGACTGGAAGGGAGCAAGAATGGCTTCATGGACAAGATGGTTCTAAGTTGCGCTTTGAGGATGGCAAGATTTTCAATGGCCAGAGTTGGTGGGGGTAGGGCACCCAAAGTGAAGAAAACTCACAGAAGCAAACAAATGCACTGCATGTTTGGGAAACCACAGCGACTCTAGGGAAGTTAGATAGGAGGAGTTTTAGGAGAGGATAATATGCAAGAGGAACATACAAATGTCCCTATATCATTAATCTGAAAAATGGGGCCAGGCGTTGCCATTTACTTCAGTAATTTTTGAGGACATCGATCAAGGAATTATAGTACAGGACAGTAACAGACATTAATAATGATTAATGATGATGATCTCAGATTATTAAGGAAAAGTTAAACTATTTTGGAAGGCAGGGAAGTATGTTTCTATTATAAGTATTTAACTAATAAATAGTTAAAGTGAATTATGTTTTGGTGCTAGAAGAGACTCCTTGAGTGTTTTCAATAATTTAGTTACCTAGAAGAACAACTCTTCTTTCCTAATAATGATGGATAAATGAAATATCACCATGCATTGTTTTTATTTTCTCCTAAAAATAATATAAGCTCCCAGGCAGAACAAGCGTTTTTTTAAAAAGTATGTCATCAGTATAAGAATCTCTGTCACTTCTTACTGTTGTCTAAAACTTTGGCTTTTATTGTTACCAGAGGGAGGCCATTCTCCCCCTCCTACTTTTAGGTATGTCCTGGTACTTTTTCATAGCTCCTGGTACCACCCAACTGCTATATCAGGGGAAAAGATGCTAATGACCACTACTGTCCTGAGATCACTCACTGGGAAGCAGAATTGTATGAGCACTGGAGTCAGGTTGCCCACACACCTACCAGCTCCCTGGCCACCACTTACAAGTCCTATAACTATGGGCATGTTACTTAATAACTTTCTGAATCAGTTTCCTCATTTGTAATATGGGTCCTACTAATAGTATGTATTTCATAGGATTGTGAGAATTGAATAAAATAATACATGTAAAGCACTTAGAATAATGCCTAGAAATATTAAGTGTTCAACTTACTTTTTCCCCTCAAAATATGTTTCTGAGATTTATCCGTATAGTTAAAGTTTACCCCTTTTCATTGCTATAATATTCCATTGTTTAGCAGCACTGAACTCCCAAGTGTTGGTTGTGGAGGTGCAAAATGTCCTGTCATATACAGATAAGATATAAAAAGGAATCCCAGGTAGTGAAATTATGGGTATTTCTTTGTTTCATTATACTATGATAATTTCCAATTTTTCAAAAATTGGCTTTATCTATGGCTTTCAGAGATATTTGATTTTAAACCTGGTGGTAACAAGAGTTTACGGAAAATCCCATTCAGCAAGAAATAATAGTTGGTTAGCATCCAGGATGAGATTACAAGGTGAACTCATCTGTAAATTGACAAATGCAACACAGCAGGGGCAAGACATGATAAGCTAAACTCTGTGTCCCCAAGGAGACTGTAAACTGTACATTTAGATTTTCTTTGTACCCAGCAAAGCTCTCAGAGATAGGTACTTAATTGAAGCTGCTACTGCTAAGGATGCTCAGGGCAAGCAGTGGCTATGGTGTTTTGTCCTGTACTGGTTTAAAACCCACCTGCTTTCTGTGGTTGCTTATGATAGTGTTTTCAGTCCCCCAGGGGACCAGAGAGAAGAGAGAAAATAGATTTCCTGTCCTCAATCTGATGGGATCCAATCAGGAAAAGATAGATGAGGCCCAAGCATGGATCCAGAGGATACTGACCCTCCAGGACTACCACATCATTGAGGATATGCATATCCTCTACCTCGGGAAAAAGAAACATAACTATTTGTCTGAGCTTCAGAAAACCTCATGGGTCTCTATCTCAGAGATTATCAGCCCGGGAAAAGCACATTTAGAGATTAAAGGAGCCCAGGCTGACCTCATTAAGGCAGTTATGAACATTGAACATATGCTGTGTGAAGTTCAAGAGGAAATGGCAAGAAAAAAGGAGCGAGTCCTTTGGAGCTTGTCAGGTGAGTAACTTTCAATTAAGTTGGAAAGTCAGCCCTTCCAACTTTTGGGTGTGAGCGTGCATGTGTGTAAGTGCGTGAGAGATAGAATGGAAGAGGAGAGAGAGCAAACTATGCTGGGTCTGTTAGGCCATAACTTTTATAACCGTTTTTTGGCTCTTTCTACCAGCAGGGTTAATTATTAGTAAATGAAAACACACATACACACACACGATTGGGTTTACTGATGATGACATGGATTGCCTAAGAGGCAATTATGAGGAAAGCCCAGGATAACCCAAGACCAGGCTCTAGGGAAAAAAAGTACAGCCCTAATTCTGCAGATGGAGCATTCAAATGCAGATACATTCCACTTAATTCATTTCTTTAATTGAGTTTTATTGCAATTATTTATTGCTGACAGTGTTAGGAGCCCTAAAATTACTTTGAGCCTTCCCACCAGAGTAAATTTCATTGGTACTGTGAGGTCCACTCAAGTATCACTCATTCAATGGGGCAAAATCCATCGGGATGACTCTGGGAATTTGGGTCTGCAGAGATCCTTTTAACTTAGCCCTAGAGCTAATTGGGAGATCATACCATTGAAAATACTGCCTTGGGAAATTGAGGCTTATTTCTTTCATTTATTCAACTAATGTGTATTGCATCCATGTTATGTGAAGCATTGTGCTAGGTGCTTGGGATACAGTGATAAGATGAACATTGTTCCCACTCAAAATCTAACTGGGGGGCTTCCCTGGTGGCGCAGTGGTTGAGAGTCCGCCTGCCGATGCAGGGGACGTGGGTTCGTGCCCCGGTCCGGGAAGATCCCACATGCTGCGGAGCGGCTGGGCCCTTGAGCCCTGGCTGCTGAGCCCGGGCATCTGGAGCCTGTGCTCTGCAACGGGAGAGGCCACAACAGTGAGTGGCCCGTGTACTGCAAAAAAAAAAAAAAAAAAAAATCTAACTGGGGAAACTGAAAGGTAAGCAGGTTAGCTATGAACAGGAAGGTGAAAGTGCTCTGGAAACAACTAGGTGAGGCACCTAACCCAGACTTGGGAGGTAAGGGGAAAGCTTCTCAGAGGAAGTGTCACAAATGGAGAAGTGAAGTATAGGTAGGAGTTAGTAAGGCAAAGAAAGAAACTTTCAAGAAATCAGACCATAGCTGGGCCTAGGTTATGCAAGACTTTATAAATCACATGAAAGTATTCAGAGTTTTTCTTGAAACAAGTGGAGAGCCTTGAATGATTTTAAGCAAAGACAAGGTCAGACTTGTATTTTAGAAAGATCACTGGTTGTAACATGGAGAGTGACTTTAGTGCAAAAATTCAGATGTAAAACTTCAGAGAACGTCTTATTTTCACCATGTATTTGTAAAAATAGTTCAGGCAGATATGGTCGAAGTGAGTGGGAGTTTGCAATAAATGTTGTATCCATAGTCCACAGAAAACCCAATGTCAAAAAACATGGACAAAAATAATACTCAAGAATGAGACCCAAGATTATGATTTCTACTTAGCTCTTAAAACATAGTGAATGTGGGTCTTTAAACTGACATTGACACTTCTCAAGAGAACAAGGTAGAAAATAACACTGATGGCCTGTAAAGCTTGTGGCATTACTTTAACTGCATTCGTAAAGTTGGCCCATTCTCCTAGCTGTTGGCAATTTAGTCATGTTAAATCCCTTGCTCTGCTGCAAGGTGGCATTTTTTGGCAGTTGATGACTAAGCATATTATTCTACAGCAGCGTTTCAGAGGTTCATAGAGACTCACCCCCTCTTAATCAGGTTAAGATCTACATTAACAAAATGGGTAATTTTTTTGTGTGTGTTATGTGGGCCTCTCACTGTTGTGGCCTCTCCCGTTGTGGAGCACAGGCTCCGGACACGCAGGCCCAGCGGCCATGGCTCACGGACCCAGCCGCTCCGCGGCATGCGGGATCCTCCCGGACCGGGGCACGAACCCACGTCCCCTGCATTGGCAGAAGGACTCTCAACCACTGCGCCACCGGGCAAGCCCAAAATGGGTAATTTTGAAATTAGTTATTACTACAGGGAGCATCAGCTATCCACCAGAACAGTATGTTTTAAATAATAGAAGTTAGGCATATGCTCCTCTTTTATGGTTCTCCTTCCTGGTGAGTGTTTCTGATGGCAGGACTTCATGGATCTTTGAGTTTCCGGTGCCCAGCTCAGTGCCTGGCATGTAATAGGAGCTCAGTAAATGTTTGCTGAACTCAAGAGAACTGAACTCTAATACTATACTTTATAAATGTGAGCTATTGCTCTCCAGATTTAATTTACAGTCTCTTTGAAATGTCTTGGCTTTGGTGTTCCTCTGCTATGGAGTTATGTTCCTCCTGCTTTCCTGCTTTCCAGATTTACAACTTGGCCCTCTATAAGTTTCTCTGAATTTATCATCGGCTTTTTGTGGTTAAATTGAGCCCACTCAATTAGATAATGTGCTAGGGATTAGGTCATTTTAGTATACTTGGTCTTAAGTCAAATGGAAAGTAAACTGAAAGAAAAGAAGCCTTTTTTGGTGTTTTCATATGTCCATCTGTGTATTTAGTCCAGTAAGGAGCTCCTTTGGGCAATAAAAGGTTGTCCCTTGAATGTAAAATAGGAAAGAAGTTAAGGAAGGAAAGAAGGAAGAAAAAGAGGGAAAAGGAAGGAAGGGAGGAAAGACATGACACCGCAAACTATTAATCTCCAAATTTTGTTCTTCTTGGTTGGGTGGCCTATGAATAACATATTTACTAAATATTCTGCCTTGCCCCTTACAGAAAGCACTGGTGAAAGCCAGGTTTATAATCTTGGATCTGTACTTATTAGCTTTGTGATATTGAGCAAGTCACTTAACTTCTCTGAGTTTCAATTTCCCTATTTGTAAAACTGTGTTAATTATTTCAGTGGTGGTTTGTAATACCCAAATGAGGCAGAGATACAAAACAGTTTTAAAAACTTTGAAGTATTACATAAATGTCATACCATTTTCCATCACCCCTTAACATTTTCTTCTGCTTATGTTTTTTGTTGACTGGCATCCTGGCTAGAAATACAAACATTTCCTACTAGCGATACAACTATATATCATCATTACAGCATTGATGGGGGGAGTATATATTAATGCTCTTTTTTCTCTTATCCCCTCAGCTTCATAATCCAAATCATCTGAGGACAAATTTATTTATTTATTTATTTATTTATTTATTTATTCTGTGAGAGATTCTGCCTCCCATGGGATGTAACTTTTTTTCTTGAGCTCGATTATTTTATTTATTTATTTATTTATTTATTTGCCCGCACCCCACGGCATCTGGAACTTCCTGGACCAGGGAACAAACCTGAGCCCCCTGCAGTGGAAGTGTGGAGTCTTAACCACTGGACCACCAAGGAAGTCCTGAGGACAAATTTATTAACCCCCTATTTTATCCTATGACTTCTCATGGTATTATAGCTGTCCTTGCATGTCCTAAACATATGAGGCATATAAGTTAAACTGCTTATATATTCCTCCAAATTTTTATAATTTGTTTCATTTAATTTCTGTTTATTTATTTATTTACTTATTTGGCCATGTGGCACGGCTTGCAGGATCTTAGTTCCGAGACCAGGGATCGAACTCAGGCCCCAGCAGTGAAAGCACTGAGTCCTAACCACTGGACCACCAGGGAATTCCCTCATTTAATTTCCTTACAAACCTTTCCCTCTCACAGAGCACTGAGACAAAGTTTTATGTTACTCATTTTCAGGGCAGCAGACTGATCAGCAACCAGAAAACCAGAATCAAATGAAGGAAAATGCATTTTTGAAATGCCTAAAGCTTTCAACTCGAGAAATTCAGGATCAAAAGAAACAGTTTGAAGACTGTGGTTTGTGGGTTATAAAGGTATACTTAATTAAGGGAAGAATTTGACTTATCTGCTATCACTTGGTTCTACAGCCAAAAGAAGAACTCCCCTGCTAATATCTCTAAGCTCAATGATCTGGAATCCTAGGAATTAGTCTGAAAGGAGGGCAGGGATGGGCAGGTATGAGAGGTATAATTGGAATCAAGTGGTAGAAATGATGTCAGGATGTACAGAAGCATAGACCAAGACTCAGAGATAAGCTATCTGCCTATCTTGACGCAAAATAAAAGAAACGCAATAGCATTTATCACACTTATAATTATTTACCTATTTTTAGCTCTCACTAAACTATGAGCTTTAAGAGGGCAAAGACTGTGTCTGCAGTTGACCATTTCATTACCAGCAATCACACAGTGATTGCTCAGGGAATTTTTATCGAAGTAGGGACAGGGAATTTTGAAGAGATAGAAGTCAAAATAGGAGAGGGTTGGGGCCAGGAGAGACTCTCAGCAACTTTGTATGAAAAGCAAATCACATGCAAAGTCATATGCACATAAGTGCCTTTATTTTTGAAGCAGAGTAGCAGGCAATTTAAGTAGCAGTTCTCCAGTTTCTTTTTCAGTTTTTCATTTCCTTGGGCTGTAGGTGGAGAAGATAGACAATGCACTTCTCATGGCTGCCTTCCAAAGAAGGAAGAAAATGATGGAAGAGAGAACCCGTGGGAAACCTGTGAGCCACAGGTTGTTTCAGCAAGTCCCACACCAGTTCTGCAAAATGGTATGCAGAGTCGGCTTTCACAGAATGTACTCCGTGCCCTGCGGTAGGTGTCAGTCCCTCATAATCGGGGTTACTCTATGTGGGAATTGGTGAGCAGACATCAACAGATGACTCACCACTAACAGCATTTGTTGCTTTGGTAAGGGGGTCATTTACAACTGGGATTTAGTGGTAAAGTTATTTGGAAAGGGTCATATTTAAAATTTTTCCTTCACGTATACTGTGGCTGGTGGCTTTTATGTTGATGAAAGTGTTTGCAGTAAGAGCTACAGTTCACTGTTTTTCCCCTTTCTGTGTTTGTGTCCTATCTGCAGAGAGCACCCTGGAGCTTTTTTTTTCTTCTTATCTCAACGAAATTATTATCAACACTACCAAACAATCTTCCTCCCTTAATTAAAAGAGCATTTTCCTGAATATAATAAAGTTGGTCCTTTTTCTTTTTTTTTTTGCGGTACGTGGGCCTCTCACTGTTGTGGCCTCTCCCGTTGCGGGGCACAGGCTCCGGACGCGCAGGCTCAGCAGCCATGGCTCAAGGGCCCAGCCGCTCCGCGGCATGTGGGATCTTCCCGGACCGGGGCACGAACCCACGTCCCCTGCATCGGCAGGCGGACTCTCAACCACTGCGCCACCAGGGAAGCCCTGGTCTTTTCTCTTCCATCCTCTTCATTTCCAGTAGCTGCCAGCGAATGAACTAGGCATCACCTCAGTTATGGGGGTTCTACGTGTAGTAGCTTCTATGTCTCAGTTGTACAAAAATATTGCATACTTTACTGCTATATTTTCTCTTTTAAATCTCTCCATAAGAAGCTAAGAAGTTTAGTAATCATCATGGAGGATACTAGCGAGGCAGCTTGGTGTTGCCTGGTCCATTAAATATGTCGCTTTTGATCTTCACCTTTCAAATACATAGCATGATCCTTGCTGCAGAGCCTACTCCAAGGCTTGATTTGTGGAAAGCAAAGGGCCTGGAAATCATCTCTTTGCCCCAGAGAAAACATAAGCAATACCCAGGGTAAAAACTGGACCTGAACAATTTTTCACCTGGGGGTAAAAATTGATAAATGAATCCCCACCAAGAAGTCTTGGAGTGTAACCAAGAAAGTGATGATCAGTATGATCCTTTCACTGGCAAAATCTTAAAAATTCACGACTTCCATTTGCTCCTAAACCCATTGTAACTGGCATCTCTGCACTCTACCCCTGCCCCTTCTATTTCGACTTAAACTACTCTAAGAACATCACAATCCTCATATTTTTCAAATCCAGCGAGTGCCGTCTTTTCAGTTCTGTGGTAGACACTGCTAATTGCCTACCCAACATCTGTGCACATATTTCTTCCCCAAGTAGCTAAGACACACACCATCCTCCCAAGGAAGACTGTCCCAAAGTCTCATCTTAGCTTATCATTAGCCTCAAGTCCAGACAGTACTTTCTTAAAGCTTAGAGGCAAGGTAATTGTCCTAATACATTCATTACACAATGATATTAGAGGGAGCAGGAAAACCGCAATAGAAACTCCCAGTTCGAAAGGGGAGAAAGGAAAACACACAAGTCACTGGTCTATACCACTAACCACGTGCTGCTGGACCGGTATAGTATTCTATTCTGGGAGTGGAGTAAGACCTTTGTTTTGCACTCTGGGAAAAATCTTCCTTACGTATTGCTGCCCTTGGTTATTTCTAGGTGAACTGCCTACCAGGGGTCTATGGATTGCCCTAGGGATCTAGAATGCTCCCAGGCTACTGATAGCTGGACTTGTAGTTTTTTTCAGCCATACGATTCCTTTAAAAACTAAGCAGCATGAGGCCTGTTTGTTTCTGGTCATGTTTGTGTCTTTTTAACCCAGCCAAATATCTTGTCTCCATCTAGTCTTTAAGCCTCAAGATTCTGGTCTTTTACCTACTGGCCTCTGTGCTCTGCCCACTTCCCTAGCCATTAGCTTAACAGCTACTGCCTTGAGGGAATTCAGGCAATTCAGACTCAGTGGGGAGATAATACTCATAATGTGACCTGTGCCAATGTGTCTGGTGAGAACGTTTAACTGAACGTGCCTGAGAAACCCTGGAGACATCAGTTTTGTCACCACTGAGCAACTCATTTTTTTTAACCTAGTTTTCATTTGGAGTGTAAAGGCTCCTGGCTTTTTCACACCTGCATGGTTCCAAATTATGGGACTCTCAGTAAACTTAGATGCCATGTGTTGGTAGAGGGGGCTTCTATTAACAAAGCTTTATTTATTTTTTTCTATCTTTCTTGCATTCTAGCCAGTTCTATTCTGAATTCATCTCTTGCTTGTAAGACTTGGATGAATGCAGCAAGAATGTGCCTGCATGCTTGCAGTTTCTTTATTGGATTCATTCATTCATTCCATAAGTATTTATTGAAAACCATTCTAAGAGTCAGGCCCTGTGCTATGTGGGAGGGATACAACGGTGAAACAAAATAGAGTTCCTGCCCTTATAATTTATAATCTAGTGAGTCCATCTGTTGTCCTTTTTTTAAATATTGGTATTTTCTGGAGTTCTGAAGGAACCTTCGCTCTTTTTCCTCTACAATGTCCCCCCGCGTGATTATACCCCATGACTTCAACTCCTACCTCTATGGTGATGACTTGCAAATTTGTAACTCTAACCCCCTACGTTTCTCCGGACCTGCAGGCCCATATTTCTGTCTTTTGGACTTCTCTACCTAGATGTCCCATAGCCACCTCAAACTGAATGCTTTTCTTGGCCATACTTTTCCTTAAGAAAGGGGATCCCCCCACCCCACCTCCCATATTCATTAAACTGGCTAATACCCCCATCCATCTACCAGGTCTCCTAGGCTGGAAACTTTATCATCCTCCATTCCTTCCTTTCTCTCACTCTCATATTGAGGCAGTCATGCAGTTCTAGTGATTCTCAATAAAATTCTCAGTCCAGACTTACCTCTCTGTTCCTACTGCTTTAGTTCATCTTCCCCTAAGCCTAGACCATTACCTGGTCCTTTCCTTGCCTCAAAACCATCTGACCCGTCCTTTACTCTGCTACCAGAATTAGCATGCTAAAAAGTTACACGCCCATTTAACATCTGCATTTTTAGTTGCCTACAAGGTAAAAAACCCAAACTCCTTAGCAGAGTATTTAAGGCCTTGGACCCACGTTATTTCACCAGCTTATCGCTTACTATATTCCTCAACACACTAGCTGTGAACTTCTTAGAGCTTCCTAAATACGTGCTGTATGCTTTCATGCCTCTGTGCCTTTCCATGTGGAATGCCTTCTGTCCTCACCCTTTCTAGTCCTGCGAACTCCTCTTCCTTCTTCAAGATATAGTTCAAATGGCATCTCCTGTTTGACACCTTCTGCAGCTCCTGCAGGCCCAGCAATTTGCTTCCCTGTGTGCTCCTGTACTTCCTTCATTGCTTTGTTACATCTGTAAATCTAACAAGTACAAAAATTTACAGTCCCACACATCTCAGGTGTGGGACTTGTTTTCTTTATGGTTCTATAACTGAACTTTAGCTTTCATGCACCCATGTCCACAGATATGGAAAACTCCATCTTGACAGTTCAGGATGAACTCAGTCATTTTCAGAGTTTTCTTAGTCCATTTGGGTTGGTTTTTAAAAAATATTTATTTATTTATTTATTTATTTATTTATTTAGCTGCATCTGGTCTTAGTTGCGGCATGTGGGATCTTTTAGTTGCAGCATGCGAACTCTTAGTTGTGGCATGTGGGATCTAGTTCCCTGACCAGGGATTGAACCCAGGCCCCCTGCATTGGGAGCACGGAGTCTTAGCTGCTGGACCACCAGGGAAGTCCCCATTTGGTGTTTAAACTCAGTTCCTGCAAGGCTTTGCCCTTTCTTCTCCTAATATCCTTGAGATTGCTCTAGATGGTAGACAGGCATTGTGGGGAGGGTGGTCTAGCTTATGGCCCCCCATCTGTCCTCTGCCCCCAGTGTCCTCTGGTAGGTAAGCCACCCTGGGCTTTGGTTATTAGCACCTTCCCAGACTTAAATTTCCAACGCCCTTTGCTCTTAGGTAGTGTCTACACAGGCTGCTCTGTTTTTCATGCCGGGGGAAATCGTTTCCTGGCCAGGTCTGTGCGCCTCCTGCAGCACAGGAAACTTTTGAGTGTGCTCATCCTCCAAGTTGAAATGCGGGCTCTTGAGGGGGGCTGTCCTCACCTGTTCTGGACATCTTCCCAGCTATTGCTACTTTCCACTCAAGTGCCAGGCTGGGTGAGGGGCTGCACTCAGCGGGGTCAGGCAATGGTCCCTTCTGCTGTGGAAGTCCCCCCAGTTTCTCTGAGATTTCTATTATTCTGCTCCATCTTGGTTCCCAGGGCTCTTTCAAGGGAGTGAGGCAGTAAAGTAAGCAAGTTCTCAGAGTCCCCAAGAGTTCTAGTCATGTCCTCTCTGATTCTTCTCTTACTACCAGGTAGAAGGAAAAACTTTTATCTTTCTTTTTTAAATTAACTTATTTATTTATTTAGTTTTGGCTGAGTTGGGTCTTTGTTGCTGCGTGCAGGCTTTCTCTAGTTGCAGCGAGCAGGGGCTACTCTTTGTTGTGGCGTGCAGGCTTCTCATTGCGGTGGCTTCTCTTGTTGCGGAGAACGGGCTCTAGGCGTGCGGGCTTCAGTAGTTGTGGCACGTGGCCACAGTAGTTGTGGCTCGCGGGCTCTGGAGCACAGGCTCAGTAGTTGTGGTGCACAGGCTTAATTGCTCCACAGCATGTGGGATCTTCCAGGACCAGGGCTCGAACCCGTGTCCCCTGCATTGACAGGCGGATTCTTAACCACTGCGCCACCACAGAAGCCCAAAACTTTTATCTTGAAGTGAGAAAACTGCTTTAGAATATCTTGTATTCTTTCCTCTCTCATATATGGTATAAACTCCATGCTCTAAATTCTTCAGGCTTTTAGCCTTTTGGTTCAAAAAAACCTCCTTTTTCTCTCTCAGAAAACCTAACTCTGAAAGCCAGACTTTTATGACTATATTCTCTGCTTGATTAAAAATAATTTTGTTATTTATGTATACATACATGTATATATCATATATATGTATATTCAATTGAGTTTGTTCTAAATTTTATTCTTTTTGCCTCTGAGGTGATAAGTAGCAAGAACTCAATGGGTAGAGGAACGAGGAGCAAGAAGAAACCCCCAAAAAAGAAATCTTTGAATTTGATCTCAAAATATTTTCTTGCCACATAAAATTGTACTGTATTTTATCTGTTTACATGTGGGGAGTTCTCTTTGTGAACATGTCTTAGCCACTTTTGAAGCTCAAGTCCATCATGGTAGCCACTGGCCACATGTGGATATTGAGCACTTAAAATGTGGTTAATCTGAATTGAGATGTGCTGTGAGTATCAAATACAGACTGGATTTTAAAGACCACTGCCAAAGGAAAGAAAAAATATCTCAGTAATTTTTATGTTGATTACATGTTGAAATGATAACATTTTAGATATAATAGGTTAAAAAATATATTATTAATTTTACCTTTTTTAATGCAGCGACTAGAAAATTTTAAATTACATATGTGGCTTCCATTACATTTCTTTTTTTTTTTTTGCGGTACGCGGGCCTCTCACTGTTGTGGTCTCTCCCGTTGCGGAGCACAGGCTCCGGACGCGCAGGCTCAGCGGCCATGGCTCACGGGCCCAGCCGCTCCGCGGCATGTGGGATCTTCCCAGACCAGGGCACGAACCCGTGTCCCCTGCATCAGCAGGCAGACTCTCAACTACTGCGCCACCAGGGAAGCCCTCCATTACACTTCTATTGTTCAGTGCTGCTCTAGAACCTGAAACAGTGTTTGGTTATGTCCCAAGTAAATGTAAAGAAAGAGAGAGGGAAGAATGGAAGGGAAGGAGGGAGAGAGAATATGGCTTCAAAGAAGTTTTCATTTTTTTCCCCCTCTAAGTAGGGGTAGAGAGGGCATTAAGCAGGAATTATTACCTTGAGGACCAGAGTTTGGCCCTCAGCTTCCTGGGAGTTCTTAATATTCCAGAGAAGAGAAGACAGATGACAAGCATATGTATCAGTGTGGAGAATACTCATTTCCAGTGGTTGGAATAGGGCACATCCTCCTTGTATCACAGTATTAAGGATGCCTGATGAATGGAAAACTTCCTGGTGAGCATGGACCTAGATCAAAAGCATGTAGAAATTCTCTGTGGGCTATTTTGCCAGGCTCATGTTCTGGGTGATCACTGCCTATTTCTGTTGGCCCCAGCCTTCATGCTGCTTCTCAGTGGTTCCCTGCACCCCACTGACCTGCTCTGGGACTGGCCCCAAGCCTGATAGCCATTCTCAGTGTCCATGGCCCCACTGATGCCGCCCCCAAACCAGGACCTGTCTATGTGTATGGATGCAGAGTTCCCAGGTTACAGGCCACTGTGGGCTGGGGTGTAGGGAGGGGAGAACATGGACCAGAGCCTAGACTGTTCTAGGCTCAGTCCAGCCTTAGGAGTCTTTCTGTGACAGGGTTCATTCAGTAACTGCCTCAGGGCTTGGTCTGAAGTCAGGCTGAGGGGTTGGGATGTGACGGGGTCGGCCTCCAACTGTGGCTGAGGTTCAGGGAGCTGGACACACCTTTTCTTTCTCTAATATTCAGCCATGCTCTCTAACAGACAGGCAGGGTTTTAGTGCCCCGCATTGTGTCCAGGCCCAGGACACTAGCTCATACCCAGTAAAGTGACTTCAAGCCTCAGATCTAGAGAGGTTTCTGTTCCTCACTGGGGTGTGTCTCAAGGGCCAGAACTAATGGGGCAGGTGAATGATTATATGGAGTGATTTCAGGGACACCAGGGAAGCTGCTAGAACCCTCTAAATGCTCCTTCTATCTGTCTGGTCAATACTGACATCCCTCAGTTAGAGATTCATCTATTTGGATTAGCTTTTGGAACAGGGAAAAATCCCTAGACTAAGCGCCAGTAGATGAGGAACCAAGTCTCATCTTTGCCTCCTATTTGAGGTTGGTATTACCACACCTATCCCTGCCCCACAGTAGAGAATATCCCTCTAGTAACCAGATGTCTGTGTCCCCAAAATCCAGAGTGTCTCCTCCTGAACAATGTAGCATGCACACTAACGTTACTTCATATGCTCAGCATTCCTCTTATTTTGACATATTTTTCTTGTAATGCTGTCCATGAATTGGGAAGACACTTTGCCTTTCTTACATGCTTTTTTCACTAGCTCTATTCTCAAGAGTTCTAGACATATCCTTATTTGTAGCTTATAGAAGTCAGGCCATGTTCTAATAGAAACAGAACCTTCCCTACGTTATGCTGTCTTTATTAGCTGCTCGGCTGGTAAGTTGACAAGTCATACTCTCACTGAACCTCAGATTTTTCATGCTATATGGAGATCCTACCCAAATCACGTATTAATTGAAGATAATCAATGTAAAAATGCTTTGTAAATCATAGACTCCTCTATAAACTCTAATGGTGTATTAAGATGTAAGCTATCATTATTTTCATGATATTAGTGTTAATTTGCCACAAGTGAACAACTTTGGGTGTCTTTGCTACAGACACAGGGACTTGAGAGCAGGAAGTGGTGATTATTTGGAGGACTAGGAAGTGAATACATTTTAGTACCCAAACAGGCAATGTGATTTGTCAGATCATAATAATCTTTAATTTTTTTTCTCTTATCAGACCCAAAATATGGAGCTGGAATATACTTCACCAAGAACCTCAAAAACATAGCACACCAGATCAAGAAAACATCTGCCACAGATAAGCTGATCTATGTGTTTGAGGCTGAAGTACTCACAGGCTCCTTCTGCAAGGGTCATCAGTTAAATATTGTTCCCCCACCATTGCATCCTGGAGCCGTAGATTGCCATGACAGTGTGGTTGACAATGTTTCCAGCCCTGAAACCTTTGTCGTTTTTAGTGACACACAGGCTGTGCCCCAGTATTTGTGGACTTGCATCCAAGATCATGTACAGGATTACTCAGGACAAATGATGCTGTCTCCACAGCAGCCTTGGAGGAAACTCTCAAGTGGCAGCTCTGTTGATTAACCTCCACATCATTTTAACAACAGGTATGACCTTCCTTTGGAGGAACTAACCAAATAATGACCATCAGTGACTCAAAGAGTGGTTTGAATATGTCAAATAAACTATCATCTTAGCGCCTTCATCTTTGTCTTCCTCTCTTGGGGTTGGGGTGGGTAGATAACAACTAAAACACTCTTAGGACCTCTCCCTCTCCTTCAAGTTGTCCTTTTATCTTCTTTACCATAGGCAATAGCAAAAATGTTTTACATGTAATGAAGAGATTTTCCAGTATATAATCCAATCCTTTTATTTTGTAAAATGATGATAGTGTAACATATTAAGATGGCAAGATGATTTTAGATTTTCCAGAGAATCTTATAAAGTGCTTTATATATCAAAATAAATCACCTATGTCAAAGTAACTGGCTCTGAAAATTATGTGTAAAATGAACTTATTTGCAGTGGAAGGACACCAGACGGCCAATATTCTACTGCTACCCCTTTTGGATTCAGCTATTTCAAGTAATGCCACTCAGGCACCATGAGGCTAAATTATTAATTCACCAAATATATCTTGGTCACCAGATGTTATGTGTTTCAGTCACTTTCTCGGCGCTGGGGATACGATGCTGGACAAGACAAATGTCTTCCTAAAGCTTTCAGCGGAAATAATCAGAAAGGCAGCTATGGACAACTTAACAAGTGTGACTCGGTATAACAAAAGAGGAATTACAGACTCTTTGGAAAAATTTAAGGAGGAGAAGTATAAATTAATCTGGGGTTGGGAGGAAGCCCTTTTAAAAAACAGTGAAACTCAAGTTGAGACCTGAAGAATTTTTAAGATAGGCGAATTAGGAACGCAGCACATTGGGAACACAGTTGGAAGAGTATTCTGTGCAGAGAGCTCTTAAAAAGGCTGAATCTACTGTGACTGTGGCCATATTTAACTTCAGATTTCTGCAATGTAGTGGCCAGCTAATCTCAGCGTGCATCTCTTTCCTATTCTGAAATCAATCTCTCTCTATACTTCCAAACTTCCCTGACCTTCACATCCTCAACCTGTTGTCTAGAATACTTCCTCCTCCTCATCTTACCTTAGCCAGCATTCTTCATCTTAAAAGAAGCATGTTTATTGTCTCATATGTTACTGCCCTCGAATATGGGCAAGAGGAGTCCCGCCTTGGACTTCTGGTTTGAGAGGGTCTCACTCTCAACCTTCCTCTGGCCATGCCCATCTCCACAAGGTGAGGAATGCACAAGGTCAAGAGAATGTGTCCATTTGGAACCTGCGCACCTCACTTCTAAGCCACCCACTAGGTACCTGGAACTCTAATTTCCTGCCTACACAGCTCCAAGTCTACTTCCAGGACTCTTCCTTGGGTCTCTCTCCCAAGGGTAGACTATGCCACAGTCTGCATCAAGAATGGCCATGGAGTAAGTGTTCTCAGGGATGGAGCTTGGACATGAGGGCTGAGGTGTTCACACGCCTGTGCATAAGGCTGTGGTACAGAGTTGAGGGTGAGAGGACTGATTTGAAAGATCTAGCATATGTTTAATAGAGATGTCAAAAGGTAATGGAGGAGAGGCAGTGTTCACAAGGGTAAGAAAAGAAACAACCCATACCAAGAAACAATGAAACTGTAGGCCACCAAAGAGATGATCTTAAAAGCAGGCAGAGGGAACAGTCAAGCTATCTACAAAAGAATGACAATTAGACTGACAACATATTGTTGTAGGCAGTATAATGTCCTCCCTCTGCTCATTGCAAAGATGTCCACACCTTAACTTCCTGAATTTGTGAATATATTACCTTACATGGCAAAAGGCATTTTGCGGATGTGATTAAAGTTACCCTTCAGGGTCAGGGGAAAGGATAGTTAGGGAGTTTGGGATCAACATATACACATTGCTATATTTAAGATGGATAACCAACAAGGACGTACTGTATAGCACAGGGAACTCTGCTCAATGTTATGTGGCAGCTTGGATGGGAGGGGAGTTTGGGGGAGAATGGATACATGTATATGTATGGCTGAGTCACTTTGCTGTGCACCTGAAACTATCACAGCATTGTTAATTGGCTATACCTCAATATAAAATAAAAAGTTAAAAAAAATAAAGTTACCCTTCAGATGGGAAGATTAACCAGGATTATCCAGGTCAGCCCAATCTAATCACATAGGAGATGGCAGCATGAGAAAAATTTGATGCCCTGTGCTTGTTCTGAGATGCAAGGACCAGTGAGAAGCTTCTAGGAGCTAAGGGTGGTCTCTGACAACCAGTGAAGAAAGTGAGAACTCAGTTCTTTAACTGCATGGAACTGAATTCTACCAACACCTGGAGTGAACAAGGAAATGGACTCAAAAGCTTCCAGAAAGGAGTGAAGCCTGCCAACACTTTGATTTTAGCCCAGTGAGACCTATGCCTGACTTCTGACCTATAGAACTGTGAGACAGTATAGCTGTGCTTTTATAAGTCACTAAAGTTGCGGTAATTCGTTATGGCAGTAATAGAAAACTAATACTGAAGCCTGAAGGCATTTGCATAATATATTCAAAGGGCTGAGAAAAATGAACTGTTAACCTAGAATTCTGTAATTAGCTAAGCTTTTATTTTGCCTTAATTCTTTTTTCTTCTTTCTTTTTTTTTTTTTTTTGCGGTACACGGGCCTCTCACTGTTGTGGTCTCTCCCGTTGCGGAGCACAGGCTCCGGACGCACAGGCTCAGCGGCCGTGGCTCACATACCCAGCCACTCCATGGCATGTGGGATCTTCCTGGACTGGGGCCCGTGTCCCCTGCGTTGGCAGGCGGACTCTCAACCCCTGCGCCACCAGGGAAGCCCTTGCCTTAATTCTTGAATAAAGACACTCTCAGACCACTGAAGACTGAATTTACCAACAAAAGATAAACTCTTACTTAAGGAATTTAAAGGATATAATTCAGGGAGGAGGGAAAAAACAAAGAAAAATCTAAGCTTCAGGAAGGCATGGTAAACAAAAAAATGGTAAATGTGTAAATGGTAAACAATCACTGTCTTTATAAACAACTAATAATCTGTGGAATAAAATAAGACTGAAATAAAATACTGAAAAAATGAACCGTGTAAAATGTTGGATTAATGAATATAGTTAAATAGTTAAAGGGATTTAAAGTCCTTGTGTCATTCAAGAGATTAGCATTATTAAGGGCAGCCACTAAAAGAAGAGAAGTAAAGTACCTAACTTCTAAATAGTAGAAGGCCAGATGTGAAAGATGCTAGTGATCAAATGGAAGATGTTTATATTGGAAACCACATGCCTTGCCCTGAAAACCTCAATGGTTACTGCATCCATGGAAAATGTGAATTCATTTATTCTACTCAGAAGGCTTCTTGTAGATGTGAATCTGGTTACACTGGACAGCACTGTGAAAAGACAGACTTTAGTATTCTCTATGTAGTGCCAAGTAGGCAAAAGCTCACTCATGTTCTTATTGCAGCAATTATTGGAGCTGTACAGATTGCCATTATAGTAGCAATTGTCATGTGCATAACAAGCCAGATCCCTTTATTGTATAGATGAAAAAACCGTGGTCCCAGGAAGTTGGAACTTGTCCAAAGTCAAGAAAATGCCCTAAAAACAATAGAGGACGACGACAGAAGCAAAACCTAGGTCATTTTACTTCAGATACATCATCCAGAATGGTTTAAACTGATGACTTTTATATGTACACTGACCATGTGATGTACATTTGTCTTTTTTTAAAGAATGGAAATATTTATTTCAGAGGCCTTATTTTTGGACATTTTTAGTGTAGTACTGTTAGCTCGTATTTAGAATATTCAGCTACAACAGTTTTGGACTGTTTAGTAGTCTTTGTTTTATGTTTTTAAATACAGAAATTGATTTCACAAATTTGTACCACATGGTAATTCTAAGACTTGTTCTTTACCCATGGAATGTAATATTTTTGCAAAGATGGACCACTTCACAAATGGTTATAAAGTCAGACCCACTTCTTCCACAATGACCACAGCAAATGACCAAGCATGAACTGAAGGTAAAGATGTTTACAGATTACTTTTCTTACAAAAAAAAATCTAGAAGACTCTGTGTTTAGACATTTCAATGTTTTTGAGATTTATTAACCGATTTTTTAGACACTGCCTATCGCATGAATTGTAAAGCTGTGTGTGTTAGATGTAAAATATTTATAAGGTGTATGGACTGGAATTTGATCCTTTCTCTCCTTGAAAAAATAATTCTGAATTTTTAAAAGTATATGGTAGCAATGATGGAACAGATCACTGAAAAGTAGATTTAGATGTTGTGAAAATAGTCTGTTTAACAAACAGATTGGAATAAAGCCTACTCTATCATTTAAAGTACTTCTATACACATTCATTTTTAAAGAAATATTTGTTTTAACATAAATAAACCAATTGTATCAGTGTTTGTGAATAAATGCAAAAATGATTGTTAACGATTGGTGCTCTTCACATGAGCTTAAAAATCATCTAAGACCTCTATCCAAATTTGTCCTGTAGTAATAGCTATACTAATAGATGGTTGGTGTTTAAAGATCTGAAGTGTGAATAGAATGTATTCAGCTGTTTAACATGTAGTTTAGGTATTCAGAAGTATGCATGTAGAATTTAAGAATATGTTCAAAATATTAATTTTAATATTTGGTTTGGAAAAGCATGTTATAATATAACGTTTTCACTATACGGCCAAAAAATAAAAATAAAAATAAAAAATAAATAGTAGACCAAAAATTTTTTAATTAAAAAAAAAAAGAATTAAAAAATCCAAAAAAGGCAAATCAGGGAAGACGGAGAAAAAGAATCAGAGGGAAAAAAAGTGAGACAACACAAAATGGAAGAAATAGTTCCAAATACGTAAGTGATCATAATATGTGTAATTTGAACTAAACTTGCTAGTTAAGTCACAGATAGATTGGATTTTAAAAATCCAACTACAGAGCAGCTAAATACATAAAGCAAATACTAACAGACATAAAGGGAGAAATTGACAGTAGTA